CCACTGCTGCTCCGCAGGAGTCACAGCTCCACTGGGTCGGTGAGAGGACAAGGGCCAAGGAGGTGAAGAAAGGCCCAGGAAAACACCTTCACTGGTTTGTAGACAGAGGTTTCAGCGTTCCCTTGGTTTGTTTTAGCAGCACAGCCGGTTTTCCTAATCTTCCCAGTACAGACTCCGGATCCCCACCTTCTCTAGGTAACGGGACCTGCTAGTTGGAGTGAGGAAGGGCCCAGAGGCAGCTCCCCTGCTCCCCTGATGGGCACCTGGAAGCCCCATCGGAAGCAGGGGACACAGTTTGAGAAGCACAGCCCGGACTCCTGCCTGGTGCTCCTCGCTGCCCCACGGCTGCCTTTGTCCTGACAGCTGGGGCCCCCTCCGCCCTCTCTGACCCTTTCCCTCGCCAGTGCCATTGAGCCCCTAACACAAGGCCTTGCACCGGGAAGGCCACAGCTGGTGCTTTGAGCCTCTCCTCCGGGCACACGCCAGTTTTCCGGGGGCTGGGCAGCGGTAACAGGCTTTTTGTGATGTAGGTGAGTGAGCTTGGGCAAGTCCCCTGACTTCTTCATGACAGTTTCTTTCTTTGCATGGAGCTTTCTACTCTACCCACCGCACAGGTTTCGGAGTCAAATGGGACCCTCTGAAGCAGAAGTGCAGAGAGCAAATGAGGTCCTTTTTCACGTGACCCTGGGACTGAAATTAGCAGGAGCTTCTGCTCTCCTCTGCAAGTTAGCAGCCAGCCTGATGTTCTAGGACCCTAACCACAGGGCTGTGCCCAGAGCGTGGCTTTATTTTGTGTCCCTCACTGAGAGGCGTGGCCTGGACTTGCCTCTGGAGGCCTCCGTTTGCACAGGGTGCAGGGCGTCTCCACAGCCGTTCAGTGCCCCAGCATCGCTGTCATGTGTGAGCTGTCGTTTTGCTTACCTCCCAAGTGTAACCCGGGCTGCTTTGCCACACACTGGCTGGCGGGAGACTTGGGTTCAAAGGCAGATTCCGGTGGAAGTGACAGTGGTTGCAAACTTGACCGTTCAGTTATCCCACGGCTCTTCTTGCACACCCACTGGATGCCCAGGTCAAGCGCTGTGCCAGGTGCTGGGGACATAGTAGTTTCTCTCAGGAAGATAGATAATATATAATACAAGTCAGAAGGGAATGGATAACCTGTGATCAGAACGGTGGGGAAAACAGATGCCTGATGGGAAGTGATAGGAGGGGACCTGGCAGGCAGAAAAGACATGTCTGACATTTTTAAAGAGCGGAGAAGAGGGGCAACCTGGAGCAGACCCTTTCAGGTGGAGAGGCCAATAGGCCTGAGGGAAGAAAGTTCTAGGCTTGGCCTAGGCCTGGAAGGAGAGCTGCTGGGCCTGAGTGAGGTGGCCAGGGGGTCCACCGGGGAGACAGACAGGGCGGATCTGCGGCGCTGGGGGCCGGGTGAGGAATGTGCTCTGAAGTGTTTATTTTGCTTCCTGGGCTGGTGGCTGGGAATGGCACTGGGTGGTGTCTGAGGGCTGTGAGATAAGGGACACCTCACTGGGTGCCTGGATCCGCTTGTCAGACGAGGTTGAGGGGACACCTGAGGTTAAAGAAGAGCCTCCGTGGCTCCACACCCCCTCACAGCACCTCCCACCCCCCCTCCAAGAAGCTGCCTGAACAGAAAGTCTGGTTGGCAAGTCCCGGGAGGGGCCGAGCAAGACTGAAGGGCAAGGTGCAAACAGCACGGTCAGTACTGAGGTCACAGCAATAGCACGGAGGCCGGGCAGAATGTGGAAAGCGCAGAGCCGGCCGGTGGGGCTTAGGAGGAAACTGGACCTGCCCTGGGGAAGTCCTGGCGAGAGAGGAAACTTGTTCCAGTGATTTTACAACCCTCAGCCTTCCAGGCAGTTTCCTTGTTTTGCTTATACAGAAACCCAGGCCAGCTGCAAGCTCAAGGTCACACTGGCCAGGCCAGACAGGTTTTCCAAATTCAGAAGGGACTAGGATTCGGATTTCTTCCTCTTGAAGATCATTGAAGAAATGTCAGGGAACCCTTTGGGCCTGGAACACAACATGACAATGTGTACAGGTCTCACATGGAGAACAGGGAACAGGTAGAAGGGGGAAGGTCCCCCAAGAAGGAGGAGCTGGGGAGGAAGCTGAGTAAGGGCCCTATTCCAGGCTCCGTAGGAGACGGAGCAGAAGTCACGGCTGTGGGAAGGGGAGGCATGCTCAGGGTCTCCCTGCATAGGAAGGGGTGGCGGGCCTTCCCTGACAGGCCACCTCTGTGTCTTCCAGGCCCACAGGCTGCTGGGCGAGCGGAGGCCCCGCCGGTCCTTCTTCGAATCCTTCATTCGGACCCTCATCATCGTGTGTGCTGCGCTGGCCATGGTCCTCTCCTCCATCTCCATCTGCGACGGCCACTGGCTGCTGGCTGAGGGCCGCCTCTTCGGGCTCTGGCACTTCTGCACCAGCTCCAACCAGACGGGGCCGCACTGCCTGCGAGACCTGAGCGAGGCCCGCGTGCCGGGGCTGGCCGTGGGCATGGTCCTGGCCCGCAGCGTGGGCGCCCTGGCCGTGGTGGCCGCCATTTTCGGCCTGGAGCTCCTCATGGTGTCGCAGGTGTGCGAGGACCTCCACTCACGGCGCAAGTGGGCCCTGGGCTGCGTCCTCCTGCTCGTCTCTTTTGCCCTCTCCGCCGCGGGGCTCCTGAGCTTTGTGATCCTCCTCCGGAGCCAGGTCACGCTCACTGGCTTCACCCTGATGTTCTGGTGCCAGTTCACCGCCTCCTTCCTCCTCTTCCTGAACGCCATCAGCGGCCTCCACGTCAACAGCATCAGCCGGCCCTGGGGCCCGCTGAGCGAGTGTTAGGCCCTCCTCCAAGGACATCGGGTTCTCCAAGAACGTGGTCAAGACTTGACCTCCGGTGGGGGTAGGGGTGGGTTTACTGACCTCGGAACGGCTGCCTCTTACCCAGTACCCTTTGGGCAGTCAGCCAGAAGTGGCCCAGGGCCCCATGCCCAGGGCCAGAGGCCAGGAGCGTGCCTCCATGCCACCAGCTGCACAAGTGTAGCCAAGTTATTAGGATGTAGACTGTAGAACACACTTTAAAATCCTTTCCTTGAATCCTCCTCCCCAGGACGGGAAGAGATTTGGAAGCAGCTCTGGTCACTGGTGCCTGGGCTGGCTGCGCAGCCAAGTGCTGTTCACACCTGCTTCCTGGCTCTGTGCCGGGAGACCAGCTGGGGGTCCCTGGGACTTCGCGGGGGCAAAGAGCGGATCATCTTCCAGCTGAGGGTGCCCAGCCGGAACCAGGACTTCCTTCCACCAACTGGGGACCTCGGGGCACACCCCTCTGCTTTAGCTCTGGCCATGCCAGGGAGGCAGAATGCAGGGGCCCCTCAGGATTTCTTGCACCTGGTAGTCTTTCAAACCATTTTTCTTGATTTGACCCCTGCCCTTTGGGAAACCCTATACTCCCTGTAGAACCCTCCACTGCCAGCAGCTGGCTGTGTCCTCTGGGATTCCTGCCTGATGTCTTTGGGAAGGTTTTGGAGCAAGCCTTCCAGAAAAGTCCACCTGACTTCTAGCGCACAGCGCTCCCTGAGGCGAGTGTGCGTGCCCACCTTTGGTGAGGCTCAGGCAGCCTGAGGTGTGCCATCTCTGATCCAGGACACATTCGCAGAGCAGTGTCTGCAGCTGCTGGGCCGTGGGTGATGGTTAAACTCCTGAAGATGCCCGCAGGGGAAGGGGGCCAGGAACCAGAGCAGATGTCCGTCCTCACCAGCAGATCAGTGTCTGGGGCATTAAGTGGCCCCCTTTCCAGTGCCTTTGTGCCCTCAGCCCACTTCACTCCACCCTAACCCCCCTCCCCTCCACCCCACTCCCGCTCCCCTACCTAATGCAGTCTGGACTGCCCTGGCTCATTCTGGCTGCCACTGGGTGTATGAGCTTTTGTCACTCAGTTTCCCTTCCCGGGCTGGGCTGGGTGCTTGTACCTACCTCTTGTGTTTTTAAAAAATCTTTTATTCCAAAATGCACAGTCTGTGGAGATGGCTTGAGAAAGGTGGTGTGGATCTTTGGTAATTGGAGGGCAGAGCCCATCAACCTATCTACTGGGTTCTTAGCCCTGGAGGCGGGCGCCTGGCCTTTCACCAGGAGCAGTCTTCCAGGGGCAAAGGGTGACCTTGTCTCTGCAGGGTGCAGAGGTGGAGGCCAGGGCCCAGAGAGGGATGGCACTCCCCCAGGGCCACCCAAAGCTGGGACCAGAGCTGGACCTCTCACCAGCAAGATGCCCTTTCCTCTACACTGGGGGCGGGGTCTCCACCCCATCCAGATGCATGGGCTGGAGAGCACTGGGGGCTTTTGTTTTGTAAAAGGATTTAGATATTGAGTGCTCCTCAATCCTCACAAGGCTGGTGGGGAGGGAGTGTTGGTATTCCAGGGAACTGAGATCCAGAGAGGAAAGGGTGGGACTGAGATCCCCAATGGGAGGGGGAGGCAGGCCCTGGGAAAGGAGACAGCCTTGGAGCGTGGGGATTTGAGACCAGAAACCCTGGACCAGACTTCTGCCCCCTCCTGGCCAGTAGTTTGGGCAAGTCACAGGGCCTGGGTGAACCTGCTTCTCTTCTATCAAATGCTATAATGCCCCATCTCCTGCCCTCCCTGTCTTGGGGGCCCAGAATAACTGCCTGTCAGGGCAGGAAGGCAGAGGGAGGCCTCAGACCACATCAGGGCTGCTAAAGGGAGCTGGGTCCTGGGGCTCTCCTGGCCTCCACGGGGACCTGCTCAGGTCAGTGCAGCAGTTGTCTTGAAGGCTCTGGGATGAGAGCCTCTGGACAGACAAGGGTCAGGCAGGGTCCACTGGGGCCAAGGACCTGGATGTCTCATGTTTCTGGAGCTTCTAGGTTTGTCCCTGAAAACGAGCTGGGGACCAGGGAAACCCCTCCTCCAGGAAGGGGTAGGGAGTGAACCAGAGCATCCTCCCTCACCTGTCTCAAGGACAAAAGGACGGACACACACGCCAAATCTCCCCTCAGTTCCCATTTATTTTCCTGCTCCCTTCTCAGACCCCTCCCCTTGTCCCATGCGGCCCAAGTTCCTTGTGTGGGTTCTGAGGGACTCTCACCCTCCAACCCAGGGCCTGGAGAAGAGGTCTCGGTCACAGGAGAAAGCATATGCTGCCCGGGGGCCGATGGACTGTCCCAGAGCAGGGCCCGCGCTCTCAGAACCCAGCTTGGCCTGTGTCCACAGTGGCCCTGCTCCGACCTCTCAGATGACGCTGGCCCTGCAGGTGCCCCGGCCCGGCTCTAAGGGGCTGGCCTTGGTGCCGTGGGTGAGGCTGCTGGTGCCGATGCTGGTGGAGTTGCTGAGGGCCAGGGGGCGCAGTGGAAGCTCACGCAGGTGCCACTGCCGCCACTTCTTCTGCACCTCCAGCTGCACCTGTCCCGGAGACCAGCCATCAGCCCAGGAGGGAACACAAGAAGGGCCCAAGGCCCAGAGTCCTGCTCACCCCCTGGGCCTCTGCATGGTCCTGTCACTCCTGCCCAGTAGGCATGCCTCCACCTCCTGCAGGCCACTCGGACTGACCGACTCCAACCCTGATGACCAGGGGGTACTGAGGGTCCTTCCTTGGGTGCGTCCACCTGCCATCTCACTACAAATGTCCTGAGGGGCTTGCCGTTGTCACACTAGCTCCAGAACACCAACATCCTCATCATCCCATGGGATAGCAGGACGTGTTCCCAGGAAGCCACCCTGGCTCAGAGCTCATCTGAGGGCCAGAGAGCTGCTCTGAAAATTCCCTCCACAACCCCGGCTGGAGCAGCCAGGCCTTGGAGGCCCGGCTTGATGGCTCACTCTGGGGAAACATCAGTTGTTATCCCCATTAGCATGTGGCGAAGCAGACAGATGGCCAGCAGCCACAGAAACGCTTTACTATGTGCCATGCCGTGTTCACTGTGATTACACAGCTTCTGTGGGCCAGGAGCCTCATGTCCTGACCCAAGTGCTGGGTAAGGGCACAGGCCTCAAGCTAAGCGAGCAGGCCCGAAGGAGGCAATGGCCATTGGGGAGCCTTTGGGTTGGCAGAAGTGCCAGTTGAGTTACTCATTTTACGGACGGGAAGACTGAGGCCTGGAGTGGGGCAGCAACAGGTCACCGTCCCGCCAGGAGCCGGCTTCCGGGGCAGTGCCTGCACTCTCCTCCATTTCCGGGCTTTCCCGGGAAAAGCATCGGCTGTAGTGCTTGTTAAAAGCACCCCAGGCTCCAACCCAGGCCATTTTTTGCTGACTGGAAACTGGGGGCAGGGCCCAGCAATTGTTGACCAAGCCTTCCAGGAGGTTCTGTTGTTCCCATAAAGTGACTCAGAGTCTGTGAAGACAGGCCCAAGTCCAGCACCCGGCCTGCCCTGCCCACCCCACCACCCTTTCCAGGCAGCTCGCTCTGACCAGAACCAGTGGGCGGGAGCCCTCCAGGCACTGGGCAGCCCAGCACTCACCTCCCCGTTGAGGAAGCAGTAGAGGACGGCCACCACCAGGCCCTGCGGAGGGACAGGGCAGCAGGGTTAGCGCAGGTGCCCAACACTGGCCTCCCTCTGACCTCTTCTCAGCTCTTTCCTCACCAGCCCAGGCTCCCCCTTTCCCCTTGCAGAGAGTGTTCCAGAACCTTCTCACACCCCTCACCTCCTCTGTCTGTGCTGCATCACCTCTGTGATGCAGCTCCTTGGGGCAAGGGCAGGGTTCCTTTCATTTGTTGTCCCAGGGCCTAGCATAGACCTTGCACATATGGTGTCAGTGACACTGAAGTAAGGGCTCTATCGGGGCGCGGGGAAGGCCAGTCACCTGGTTGGTCAGGTGGGCCACCTGGGAGAAGCTGGGGGTAGTGGCACCTGGTGAAGGGCTGGGGGCCATCCATGTGACACCCTGGGCCCTATGTGGGCTCAAGTTCAAGACAAGCTGGGCCTTCCCACCGAACTGCCTTCTTCCCGTAATTTCTCTTAGAAAACACCAAGCTGCTCCTTGGGCCACGTACATGCGAGTCTACGAGGAAGGCGATGTTGCCTTCGAGGGAGCTGCTCAAAGAGGATGTTCCCAGGGCAAACGGAAGGCTGGCAATGTCACCCAGCAAGCTTGAGATCGCAAACACACAAGGGCAAGATTCTTGCCAAGAGAGTGAAAGTAGGAGTTGAGCATGTCAAGCCTCTAAGAGGCGAGAGAGCTTCCTGAAACGTAAAGGAGAATGTCCAGAGAGAGAAGGAAGCCAAACAGAAAGGTTCCTGGGCTCAACTGAAGTAGCTGCTCCCCAGGGCAGCTCCCTGTGAGAACCAGGGCCACGGAGCCTGGGCCGCGGGAGCCCACTCCCTCCTTCGGAGCTCGTGGCATGACAGGTGTAAAGAAACAAAAGACCCTTGTTCTGTTCAAAATGCCATTTTCAAATGAGAGTAGAAGAGTGGTGTCCCCTCCCCCAAAGAAATATTTAAAGGGAAAAGAGATGAGCTGGAGATGTTTAAACATGGCCAACTATTCACTGAAAAATGAATGTGCTGATGTGTGGTCAGAATAAGCCCGTGTGCACGTCCTGGTCAGCCAGCCACGGGCGTGACCCCTGCGAACGGACAGGTGAATGCGTCTCCTGGGGCGGGGGCCTCCGGGCCACATCTGATCTGTGGTGGGGCCTGTGCCTCACGCTGTCAGGAGCTCCTGTGTGCCCACTGGTGTCCCCTGGGATGGGGGTGTGGAGCTCTGCCAGGTAGGGCTGACAGCCTGGGATGCAGGAGCTGAGCCTGATAGGTGTGCGTAGAACCATGAGCCATGAGCAAGGTCTCTGCTGTGCAAATTCCCTGTTCACCACCTCAGGGGCCTACCGGGGGCCACCCTGCTCGTCCTACACTACAGGCCTAGGTGTCACAGCTCTGACCTCAGTGGCCCAAGCTCTCTTCCCTAATTCCATCGAGGCCTGCCCTGAGCTACTTTCTACATTGGAAAGGACCCCAAAGAGCAACACACAGGCCCGTCTATAGTGGGCTTAATCCCACGATGGCACTGGGATGTTGGCATTGAACAAGGCTTAGTGACAAAACTAGGAGGACTTGCTTTAGATTTTCAGGCATCAATGACTGCTGCCTAGAATGGGGACAAGTTGGTGGGGGGCTGGGAGGTGGCAAACACTTACCCAAAGCAGAACTTTCGCTGCACATTAGAACACCTGGGAGCTCTGCTCTGAGCCCCTAATCTGAACATCTGGGGCTGGGGCATCCACAGCTGTGAACACTCCCCGGGTGGTGGGGATGGGCATCACTTAGGAACCCCTGCCAGAGGGCAGGAAGGGCAGGCTGAGATACAGCAGCTTTGAGCACAGCTTGGCCTGCACAGCTGTGGGTTTCTGGGTGCCAGGTGCTTCACTTAATCTTTGCCAAAGCTCTAGGAGGCGGGTGGGAGGATCCCCTTCACAGGGGAGTGACCTGAGCCTCCGGGGTTCAGGCAGGATGAGAGCTGTGTCTGCTTGGCCCGAGGGAGCTGTCAGGCTGCCAGCTGAGGCCGCTGCCCCCCTCACTGGTCCAGGGTTGCCTGGCCTCACTTGTCTGGGCCCCAAAGATCCCAGGACACATTTTCCCAGGTGAGGGCAGGCGCGCCCTGGCCCAGGGAACGTTAGATGTGCTCCAGGTACGGATAAGAAGGCCTTACACAGCCAGCCACGGTGGGAATTCTGCAGTCATTCAGAATGGAGTCTTTAAAGACTTTTAATGACTTGGGGAGTTGTTCCTGATGGGCCTGATGAGAATTAAGCAAACAAACAGGATGCAAACACAGCTTGATCCCAATTGCACGTGCCTGGGGTACACCTGTGTGTGTCTTCCTGCACAGAAAACACACTGAGAAGTAAGCACCCACATCTCAAGAGGTCATTTCTGGGTTCTGCGCTTATGAATGAATTTTTCTCTTTCAACGTTTCCTTACTTTCCAAATTTCTTTCAACCAAGTATTATTTCTACAATTGAAAGAGCGAATAAACTTTGGTTTTTAAAAACACTGACAGAGGTGATAGTACTGTGGTCCTGTGTGTGTTCTTCTTTAAGTCCAACTTTTAGGAAGACATACTAAAATAATTACATTTGAAATAAAATGATGTCTTGGATTTGCTTAGAATGCTGGGGGCGGGGAGTGGGGGAGGGAGTGGATGGGGCTGGGATGAAACAGGATATGCCACTGGCAATGGCCATGCGGGGTTCACTATCCTCTTCACTTTTGTATACATATGGGAGAAATTTCCCAAATTACAAACTTAAAAAATACGTTATATGTAATATAAATGCCATAATGCAAACAATGATATATGTTTGTATGTAAACAAAGGTTCTTTTAAAACCCCACTCAGGATCCTTTTTCTCTGTAAGCATTCCTATGGGAACGCAGGAAAGTGCTCTGGTTTTCTCCAGAGAAGAGCCTTTTCCTGGGTGTCCACAGCCCCAGCGACAAGCCCCAGCGCCAAAGGGCAGGGAGTCCCCGTCCCTCAGGGGCCACCTGGGTCCATGCTCTCAGAGAGGCCATGCCCCTCTCAGCTGGGTCAGGCCGTCCAGCTGCCTGGATCTGGGACACCACCCCCCCACCACCACTTCCCTTTCTTTTTTAAAAAAATATATTTTATTGATTTTGTACAGAGAGGAAAGAGGAAGGGAGAGAGACAGAGAGTTAGAAACATCAATGAGAGAGAGTCATTGATCAGCTGCCTCTTGTACACCCCCTACTGGGGATGTGCCCGCAACCAAGGTACATGCCCTTGACCAGAATCGAACCGGGGACCTTTCAGTCCCCAAGCCGACGCTCTATCCATTGAGCCAAACCGGTTTTGGCCCCACCCCCCTTTCTGCTAAATGTGCCTCCCCGTACATTCCAAGAGCGGTGGGCTCAACGCTTCTGGCCTAGAGAAAGAGAATCCTGGGTTTCCAGAGGCTGGGTCCTCTGGAGGTCCAGTGCTCCGGCGCTGCTGGGGCTCTGGGTAGAGGCGACTCAGGGGAGGGCAGAGGGGACAGCCGGGCGGGGGGGTCTGAGGGTGTGGTTTAGAGCAAGACTGGACTCCACTCAATTATGTGTTCCCAGTGATGTGTCCCGAGAGTGACAAAAAGATGGCCTGGACAGAACAGAAGGAGGCTCTGAGCACCGGGCCGCCCTGACAGAAGCTGGGAGTGAGGAGGCTCTGGGCACCGGGCCCGCCCTGACAGAAGTGCGAGTGAGGCGGCTCCGAGCCCCTCGCCAGGTGCTGGCCAGCCTGGGGAAGAGGACGGCGGCCTGATGGAGCCCGCTGGGAACAGGCTGGCTTCTTAGGAAAACCCACGGGGAAAAATGCCTCTCAGGCCCCAAAGCCTATAATCCGGAGGCCTTTCCAGAGCACTAGCTTGTCTTCATCTGTGGATGCTGTAAATCATGTAACAAATTGTGTTTCTGTCGTGGCTTTGGCTCCTGGGAAGCTCCAGACTGAGTTTCTGACCCGCCTGTCCCGCCGTTACAGGACTTAATGGAATTGGCTTCTGTATGAGTGCTTTTGGCTTAATTTTCTCTTTTCACTGACCCCTCGTGACAGCGCCCTCTGCACGTTTTCCCTGAAAGCTACCCCACATTGTCTGCGGGAAGAGAACACACTGTGAGCAGGTGAGCAAGTGACCTGTGGAACGGGGAGCCCCTGCGGCCAGACACGGCTACTCCTTTTTTAACCTTACAACGCATGTGGAATTACTAGGTAGGCAATTCCTCCCTTCATGTTTCCCCTTTTAAGTTGGTTTTTATTTTTAATAAATTGTATATGCTCATGGTTTCAGAGTCAGATGATTCTAGTCACACCAAGCAGCCTCCTGACACCCCCTCCCCCATTTCCTGTTCCTCAGAGGCAACCGCTGGGACTCATAACTGGTTCTCAGTAATATGCTGATGCTGCTACTTCCAGTTTTTCAGTTTGGGGCATTTCTATGGACTTCCCACTATGGATGTCAGGGTATTCTGCAATGCTCATCCTCCTGCCCCACTTTTCTTTTTAATTAATTTCTTTATTGATTAAGGTATCACATATTCCATGCCCCCATCCTCCTATTGTCCTTGACCACTGGTTAGGCTCATATGTGTGCACATAAGTCTGCCCCACTTTCTGATGGCTCAGCCACCACCCTCGGGGCTCACATCGCTGCCTGTGTGGAGGCTGAAAGTTGCACAATATTGCGTGCTCAGGTTACTTTTCCCTTTTGTTTCCCAGAATCCGTCTCTCCCCTTCGTCTTACCTCCCACCCCCACTTGCCGGGTGGGGACCTGGGTTCCCTCAGGGTCACACAGCACAGTGAGGTCCTGCCCCTGCTTTTCTTGTGTCTCTGCCACGAGGCACCCCCTCCCCAAACCGCACGGCTCAGCCCTTCCGGAGGCCGGGCTCACAGGCCAGGCTGCAGGCCGCTCTCAGGAAACAGGGATAAATCCAGTCCGCTCAGTTCAATTTGAATTTAACTGCTCTTCTCACCCGAAAGTCACAGGCCCGAAACTCACCTGGAAGGAGCCCAGGGCCAGTTCAAAGAACAGCTGGATCTCCATGGCATCGTCTGGCGAGAAGGCGAAGATGATATAGTGGGCGCCGAAGAGCGGGATCAGCAGGAGGGTGGACTTGGCCAGACGCCTGCAGAGGGACAGACGCAGCGACACGTGGCAGTCTCTGCCCCTCGCCGGCCAGGGGGCGCCCAGCTCTGCACACCCCCTCTTATCTTTTGCAGGAGGCATAGCAGCAGTGTTTTCAAACTGTTTTGTTTTTACTTTTTATTCTGGAAAAATTTCAACTCTCACGTACCCGTCACTGAGACACAACACTTAGCAACCCAGGGCCAGTCCCAAAACTTCCTGAGCGGGCATCCCACCAGTTAAAACATCAGAACAGAGGCCCGCTCAAATAACTATTTACTCATGACAATGTGCATATATGGCTGCCCCTCGGGGCCTAATGTAGTATCAGCAAGGCCAGCATTCACATTTGTTTGATAATAAAGAGTTCTTTCATTTTCTTCCCAGATTAGATTGACCAAATTTAGCAAATAAAAATACAGGATGCCCAATTTAATTTGAATTTCAAACAAACAATGGATTTGGGGGGAATGCAAGTGCTAAAAATAGTATTTGTTGTTTATTCAAAATTCAAATTGAACTGAGCGGCCTGGATTTATCTGGCAGTTTTATCCAGAATGCCCAGCTTCACCCTACGTTGGAGCCCACTGCCTTGCAGACAGCCTAAGGAATCTGTCACCAAGCAATCCGGGCTGCTGCTAGCTTCTTAACACTGTGAACACAGCAGAGAAGGTCTCTGAGAGACACTGCTTTGCCTTTAATATCTGTGATGGGTTGAATTTCACCCTCGCCCAAATTCACAAGTTCAAGCTCTAACCAGCTGGACCTTAGAATGTGATGATACTATTTTCCAATAGGGCCTATAAGAGGTGATTAGGTTGATCAGGTCATTAGTGTGGGGCTTATGTGAGCACAGGAAAAAGGCCGTATAGGACACAGCTAGAAGGCAGCTGTCTACAAGCCAAGGGGAGAGGCCTCCATTGAAATCAAACCTGCCGACACCTTCATCTTGGACATCCAGCCTCCACAACTGTGAGAAATTAAATATCCCTTGTTCAAAATTCTGTGGAATTTTATGGCAGCCCTAGCAAACTAATACAGCATCTCTCTTTAACTTCTCAGTGATTTCAAAGTATTCTTGGGTTATACATCTTAAAAGTCTGATGGAAGTTGAGGTCATTCTCCCTGAAAAACACACCTACCTAGCCTTTTCCCAAGGGTGAAATCCCTGACTCCTGGGTCCTGCTGGGATTTCCTATCTCCTCCCCCCGACGCAGTATCTCCGGCTTCACAACAGACCCGTCCTCCTGCCCCCATTTATACTATAAACTCCCTGGAACCAGGTCACGCTTTCCCCGTCTCCCCCGTGCCCAGTGGTGCCTAGCACCAGCTGGGTGAACAGCAGGAGTTCAGTAACTGTGCTGAGGGAGCATGCCTACGACTTCGCCCCCACTCACTTATAATGGTTTACTTCGTTTCCTCTTGTCTCTTGGGTTCTCAGCTTTCTCATCAGGATTCTTAGGATGTTTACAAAAAGTGTGAAGTTAATCTGTAAAACACAAGACAGAGGGTGTTAAAGATGATGTGCCTCCCCATCACCCCTCCTGAGACTGAAGGCAGAGAAGGCACTGAGACCACCCTCAGGACCCCCGGGTGGCGCATCACTGCTCCCCTCTGCCCCACCTCATCCCGGGGAAACGCTGTGTGGAGCCGTGGATGCCCAGCACTCCTGCCCAGCGCTGCGGGAGCCTAAAGTCAGCTCAGCATGGCAGGACTCCTCACACCCGGAGCCTGGAACCCCTGGGAGCTTGTTAAAGTGCAGGTCTGGTGGGCCTGAGACCCTGCATTTCTCACCGGCTCCCAGAATGCTAAAGCTGGCTCTTGGCTACACTCTGAGTAGAACCGTTACAGACAGATTCTCAAAGGTTAGAGTGCAGACTGCTGCATCCGTATCGCCCAAGAATTTGCATTTTTAAGCCCCCAGGCGATGCTGAAGCTGCTGGTCTAGGGGTCACACAGAACTGCCTCAGTGCCTTATGGTCAGTTGGCAGCTCAATCACCAGCTCCAGGAAGCCCTCTTTGATCATCTCCCTCCCTTTCCTAACGCATTGTAGTTAGGGGTAATGATACTGCATGAGAGCACTTGACAGGTTTGAGAGGGGCTAAATGCATGCCTCTGTCAAAGTTGTATGCTTGTCTGTTTGTCTGCCAGCTGGATCATAACGTGCTAAAGGACAGGAGTGGGGTTTCTTCACTTTGATGCTCCCTTCCCCGACCATGGTGCTCAGCGCCAGAACATTATGAAGTTGCCCACCTGGGTGCTCAGCACCAGCCCCAGCACCATTTCCAGAAGCAGCGATGAGGGGGATGGCCCAGTGAGGCACCTTCTTTTTCATACAAAGAGCCTGGGGTCTGGGGACGCTTGCCAGAATACACAGGACTAGCAACCTGTCTAGGACACCCCGCTCAGCACTGCTGCTTTGGGGCTCTGCTGCTCAGGTTGTTATGCACCATGCTCTGAGCTGGCTGTGTGTGGGGTGACCAGAGAAAGGCCATCAATTTCATTTGATTGTCTTAGTCCTGTATTGAATTTAATAGGGAGCACTTGTAGGCAAAAGAAACAAAATCTTAGGATCCCAAGAATGAGATGTAAATGATGCAATTCTAGGCTGCGTGACAGGCTGGGAGGGAGATGTTTTGCATATGGAGTGCCCGTCCCACCTCCCTCAACCACGACAGACACGGTCCTGTGAAGTCAGCGTGGACACTGGGGCTGGTCGTCCCCCAGCTGGAGTCCACCGGGCGGGCCTGTCAGAGTCCCAGAAAGAAAACCTCTTGACGGAGTGAGGAAACCTCCGGGGGAGTACTATGCAGCCGTGGCCACTGGTTCATCAAATGACTTAGAGCTCACATCTACTGTTAAGTGATACGGCCAACAAACGAGGCCACAAAATCTTACACAGCATTTGGGGTGGAGGGAGGATGTGTGCTCAAAGGAAAGGTAGGAAGGAGCCCTGGCTGGTTAGCTCAGCTGGTTAGAAAGTTGTCCTGATACCCCAAGGTTATGGGTTCAATCCCTGGTCAGGACACTTACAAACCAATGAATGCATCAATAAGTGAGACTGCCCTAGCTGGTTTGGCTCAGTGGATAGGGCATTGGCCTGCAGACTGAAGGGTCCTGGGTTCGATTCTGGTCAATGACACATGCCAGGGTTGTGGGCTTGAGCCCCGGTAGGGGGCATGCAGGAGGCAGCCAATCAATGATTCTCTCTCATCATTGATGTTTCTCTCTCTCTTCCTTCCTCTCTGAAATCAATAAACATATATTTTAAAAAAAATAAATGGGACAACAAATTGATGGCTCTGTCTCTCTCCCTCTTGAAAAACAATAAATAAATAAAAATGTCAAATCAGATAAGGAAAAGCATGTGTATTCATAATGTGTATCTAGATGCTAAATGGTGATTTATGGGTGATTTTATTCCTTTTTAAAAATATATTTTGTGCCGAAACCGGTTTGGCTCAGTGGTAGAGCGTCGGTCTGCAGACTGAAAGGTTCGATTCCAGTCAAGGGCATGTACCTTGGTTGCAGGCACATCCCCAGTAGGGGGTGTGCAAGTGGCAGCTGGTTGATGTTTCTCTCTCATCGACGTTTCTAGCTATCTCTCTCCTTTCCTCTCTGTAACAAAAATCAATAAAATATATTTAAATATATATATATATAGTGTCTTCTTATTTTTTTAATACAAATTCTATCATTTTCCAAAAAAAGAGAAGAAAGTCATGGGATGGCTGCCTCCGCCCACTGCCCCCGGAGCTGCCCAGTGGCCGGTGGACGAGGAGAGGCTGCTGCCATGTGCTTCGCCCTCTCCCGCTCCAGCGGGGCCACGGGAGCACTTCCTGTCACCTGGTCCTGCAGCCTCGGCTCCCTCTGAGCCTGTGCTCAGCGGAGAGGCTGACTCAGTCCACAAGACAACCCCGCTGCGTCCCCCCATGAATTCCTCTCTCCATCTCGCATTCCTGTCCACATCCACAGGCCCAGCAGAAGCACCTGAGAGTTAGGATGAGGTCCCAGGACTACCGCCTCCCAGCCACACCCTCCCTCCCTCCACGACCCCAGCTCAGTGACTCTTCCCAGTTTAGCAGGGGGAGGCCTCCAATGCCCAAGCCCCAAGAGCGGAGGCAGTGAAGGTGGCACTGAGGCCACCGCGGAGCAGCCAGTTGAGGGCAAGGAGGGCTCACCATGTCTCAGCGCCCACACAGGGGAAAGATGATCCCAGAAGCTCCTGCGCCCCTGCCTGTCCCTGGCCCCCCTGCCCTCACCACCCCCCTGCTGCAGGCCAACCTCTGAGCTTTATTCCTCAGCACCTGGTGGGAGGGCTGGCCCTGTCCCCAAGGCCAGCCACTGTGCTGTCCCTCTTCCTGAGCCCAGCACAGGGGAGGAGGGCCACTCACCAGGATGGAGAGGAGCACAGGCCCTCGGATGACCCACCAGACAGACGGATTGGCGTTGATGTCCCAGCACCTACGAGGCACAGCCAGGCATCACTAGAGTGAGAGCTGGGCTTATCAGAAAAGACTCATTCCTGAGGTGCCCTTTCTGTGGGTGCCCTTCAAGGGGTCCTGCCCTGTGGCTGGTGCTCAGCAAGAGGAACCGGCCCTCTCCTGCTGCCCCTCCTACTTCCCTCCTCCTGCCCCCCTCCTGCTGCCCCTCCTGCTGCCTGGGAGCACTGCTGGGGCTGAGGCATTAGTGCCCTGTCTCCATTCATGCCCGGTCAGCATCTGGGGGAGCAAACGTGTGTGAACCTGGGAGCCAGAGATTCCAGATCTCAAAACTCAACTGCCATCAGTAACCAGGCAGGTGACATGCATGAGGTAAGGGGCTGGGTGACTGTCATGTGACGTAGGACCCCGGGATGTCAGGTGTGGTGGGTACTTGGCAACTTGGAGAGGATGTGCCTGGTCTAAGGCAGCCACACTCTGTTCAGCTGGTTTGCCATTTAAAAAAAAAAAAAAGTGGAAAATGTTAGTAGAACTTTCTATTTTTTCTAGAGAAGCTGAAAAAAATCCAGATTTTTTTTTTTTTTTTAGTGAATTTACTCAATAAAAATGAATTTGAAACCACTCTTTGGGGTCAATTTTGGACTACAAGAAATGTGTAAGCCCAGCTGACCTGGTCCACGTCCCGGCCTGCGTGTCATTGTGACAGAGAGGACGGGTCACGCCGCCTCCCTCCCTCCCCGGTCCTGTCAGCCTTTCTTTCCTGTGCCTCCCTCCCCGGAAGGCTCACCTCCCTCCCAGCGCCGCCCACCTTCAGAGAACAGGACTCCTCCTGTCCCCAGCAGGCGCTGATGAGGGCTCTCCTGGGGGAGCACGTGAGAGGGAGGAGCGGAGGAGAGCCCAGGGGGAAGGAGAGCGGCCTTGGCCCTTACAGCTTCCTCCCTGGGCGGCACCTGCCAGGAGTTGTGAAGCGCTTGTCTAAGCACAGAGCTGCTGGGCAGGCCGGCAGGGAGAGTGGCCTTGGAGGGCATGGCCCTGGGCAGCTTGGCAGTGCAGGACTCCTGGGGCCCCATGTGGCAAACAGGCCTCGCCTAGACAGTCCCCAGAAGGGCCCACCCTGTCTGAAGACTGGTTGGTGTAAAGGGCACTCTGGTTGCCTCTCCTTCAAACAGCTTACCCCGCATCTTCCAGGAAGTGCCTGGTGACAGCCCACGAAGCAACGAAAATGGCCGGGGAGCCTGGGGGCGGAAACAGAGGGAGGCCGTGTGAAGAGAGGGACAGTCCGGCTCCCAGCCCCGGGGGAGCCAGGGCCGAGGAACCCCTGTGGAAATCAGTCCTCACAGACATGCAGCCTCAGGCTTGCGGTTAGCAGGGATGTCCTGGGAACAGGCAGGATCAGGCGGATCTCGAAGGCCACGAGGGGCTCTCAGTCCCCCAGGAGCCTGAGGCAGACCCTGGAGGACCCTCAGGGAAGAGAGGGGACAAAATGATGGCCTACACCTGTGTTGTCCAGGACAGTGGCCACTCACCACACGTGACTATTGAGTGCTTGGTGTGTGGCTGGTCCCAGTGGAGATATGTTGGTGTTGAAGGCACAACATAGATACCAGAGTGAATATTTAGCACAAACAAAAGAATATAAGATATGTTATTAACAATTTTTATATTAATTATATGTTAAAATAATATTTTGGTTATATTGGGTTGAAAGAAAACACATTATTAACATTTTTAAAATATATTTTATTGATTTCTTACAGAGAGGAAGAGAGAGGGACAGAGAGTTAGAAACATCAATGAGAGAGAATCATCCATCAGCTGCCTCTTGCACACCCCCTACTGGGAATGTGCCCACAACCAAGGTACATGCCCTTGATGGGAATAGAACCTGCGATCTTTCAGTCCGCAGGCCGATGCTCTATCCACAGTTTCAGCTTAACATTGATTTCATGTATTTCTTTTTACTGTGGCTACTGGAGAATTGTACGTTGTGTGTGTGGCTCAGATGCTATTTCAAGTGGACATGCTCATCTAGGCGCTGCCTGTAAGAGCCCCACCCTGAGCTGCTCTGTGTCAGACCTGCTCCCCTGTCACCTCTACCCCAGGCAGGAGGCTGAGGGTTCTTCTCTGGAGGAACCAAATAGCCCCAGACAAAGGGCCTATAGATAGTGATGCTGGCAACCCTCCCCACAGGGGCCACTTCTAGCCCAGTCTCCTTGGAGACATATGCCTCCAGTCACACGGCGTTCAATCAGCTCTGGAGTTACTCATGCTTAAATATGAAAAGTCAAGGCCACTGACTTCTGAGGAAAGCTGGTGACATAAAAGGCAAGGACCAAAACAACCAGAGAAAAGGAACTCAGAGGAAACAGACCATACAGGAGGCAGGAGGAAGCTGAATAAACAACCCTCAGGAATATCATCATAGAGATAAAAGGTTACATCTGCAAGACACAAACAGGATGCTGAAAGCAGGGAGCATTCGGAGAGCAAGGAAGAGGGCTCAGAAATGAAATATAGATAACCAAGATTTTTTAAAAATTCATAGCTGGATTGGAAGATAAAGCAGGACACAAAGAGTGAAATTAAAAGTAGGAAGAAACAATGAGAAAATTAGAGGTTTGATTCTAGGATATGCATTCTCTGATTAAAAGTTTCAATAAGAGGATAAAAATCAGAGAGGGAAAAATGATTAAATAGATAATGTAAGAATATTGTTTTAAAAATGAAGGATGTGAGTTTCCAGATGAAAGAGCCACTAGATGCCAGAAAAAGGATGCACACCTCCCTGTGACATTTTAAAACACAGGATACAGAGAGACGATTGCTCGGCTTATATAGGGAGATGCATAAAAAGGCTCAAGAAACAGGATGACATGGTACGTCCCTAACATCAGATGCCAAAACAGAAGGCCTTGAAAATTCTGGGTGAAATTATATTTCAATCTAATTTCTATGTTCAATAAAACTACAAATTAGGTGTGAAAATTAAACAAAGATATCAGATATGCAATGCAAAAATATATCTACTTTCCATGAACTCTTTCTTAGGCAGATACTGGAGGATGTGCTCCAACATAATCAGAGAGTAAACCAAAGAGAGGGATACAAGAAATAAAGGGATAACATTTGTGGAGGAAAATGAAGGAGATTCTCAGCATGAAAGTTAAGGGGGTTGAGCAAATCTAGGGAAAAATCAGCCCAATAGAGCAGAAAGGCAGAAGTGAAGTTAAAAGAGCATTGGTGAAGTTAAAAGACAAGAACAGACTCCAAATGGCATCCCTTTTGCTAGGCCCTACCAAGACTTCATCCCTAACCTTCATCCCTAATTACAGTGTCAATCAGAAATTCCCCGATCAGCACTAGCAAGGTCATCTGCCAGATAAGACCTGTGGGATGGGTAGTGTTGGGTAGGATCAAACTACAAAAAGCTTCAGATGCCCGAAATTGGGGCTACATTTTAGCTAACATTTCCCATTTGACAGATAAATAAACTGAAGCTTGATGGTTAAACAGCAAGTAATCTAAGATCACACCAGTGAACTAACTTTAAATGTGGAGCTGGAACTAGAAACCAACTTCTTCTGACTCAGCGCCCTTTCCCATATGCCATTCGGCCACTGTCCCCACAGAGAAACATACCCCATCCGAGGGCGACACAGCCCTGGAGGCACTTCCTCTCTGAGAAGAAGGAGATGGCGAGCAGGGTGTGAAGGTAGAGGCCCTCCACCAGCAGCCAGGCGTAGTTGGCCAGGATGCAGTACTGGAAGAAGACCATGACCAGCTTGCAGCCCACCTGGACAGAGAGAGGCAGTGAGTCCCAGCATGGGCGAGTGTGGGCTGCCCTCTGGTGGCCAGCCTCACAGACAGTGACAGGGTGGTAGGGGTCAGGGGCCAGGCCACAGAGTGACCCATGGGCCTCACAGTCATCCCCTGTGACCTTCCACTATCAGAAGACCACAGTTGGTAGGCTCAGTCACAACCGCATCATGGAAGCATTCAAATTTTGGAATTGGCAACCATTTGTAAAATTGTGTCAGATATTGCCCAAGCCGTAACTCCCCCATTTTTCAGACAAGGAAACTGAGGCCTAGAGAGGAAAAGGCACATCTAAAGGGTTAAAATTCTCCGAGCTCACTATCCCTGGAAACGGATGAAGAAGGGACATGCCAATATGACAGGGGCAACGTTGATTATAGTGAAAATGGCCCCTGGCTGGTACATGGCATCCAGACCGGAGCCCTCTAACATCTGATGAGGCTGCCACAGTGCCGGCCTTGCTTGATGCAGTGACTCTTATAGCAAGCATGGTCTTTGCGGGATCACTGGGAGCTATGCCTGTGGGATTGTGGGGTTCTAGGCCAGCATGGCTCCTATACCCGTCTCATGAGGGTCCCCTTTCCTCTCACTGAGCTGTCCCCTAGGGACAGGACAGCTCCTGGGCTGGCCTGAGGGCTACTGCATGGACTGCTGCAAGGTCACGTCCAGAGAGGAGTTGTTCCCACTGCGAGCCATCTGTGGTTCCACCCTGTGGCCTCCCAGAGACTCTGAATCCAGGCGTGATTCATGGTTAGCTCAAAAGTCTGATGTTAGAAGAATCCAAGAAGGTTCCCTGCTGGGCACAGCTGACTTCTCCTCTGTCTAAGCTGGTCAGGAATGGGGTGGGGCCTGAATGAGTCTCCTGACACCCAGTCTGCTACTGTTAGTTCATCCTGGAGACCTCCCTGAGAGTCATGGTTCCCACTTTAGGGACCTCGTAGTTTGAATCAGAAACACACACACACACACACACACACACACACACTATAGACACAAACCTAACAGGTCAATGAGGAATTCCAGATGTGAGTCTGGAAAGTGGCAGACAGGTGACTGAACCAATCTCAGTTTCCAAACCCCTTCTCCCTCACCTATGTCTGCTTTGGAGACTGTCCTAGTGAAAAACTCAATCTCCCAGCTTCTTTTGCAGTTCTAGTCAATAAAAGGTAGGTAGGAGTCTTGGGGAGGATGTTCTTTCCCAAACAAAAAGTCAAAGCCTCCCAAAGAGAAAAAGTGTTTCACCTTCAACTTAGCTTCTTTTTATCTGGGCCGTGGATGTGGGTCTGGGGTTGCAGAAGCCACATGCAAACGTGGCATAAAACATGGGATCAAGAACGGCAGAGCAGAAAGAGGGACAAGGACCGTGTCCTTCATGGCAGCATGGAGCCACGGTGCCAGCTCTGGGTTGCCCGTCTATGGACTGCCTACGTGGGGAACACCCCTGTGTCTAAGCCACGGGTGGATAATTATCTGTTATGTGCGCTGAAGGGGTTCCCATGGACACAAAGTGATATTACAATGAATTAAGACTCATCTGAGCACATTCAGAATGAGGAAGAGGGTTCGATCTAACCAAGCACGTGGTTTTACTGCAGAGCTGTGTGTGCAGACATACAGGCAAACGCTCACCCCCTTCTTTCTACAACCAACCCAACCCTCTCTACACTTAGCCATCTGTCTACAGCGGGACTTGGTAAGAGCAGGAAAGGAGGATCCTTGCTTGCTATATATCTCAACCTCAGAGTGGCCAATCCCGGACATGGGAGCTGATCGGCAGCTCCCCACTGGCTTCCCCATAAGCCGGTCTCATACGGGACCCACACGGCATGTGGGGACGAGGAGCTCTCCCTGGATCTCCTCACCCAGCCCAGCTCCTGGCCCTCTACCACGGACATGAAGTGCAGCCTCAGGAGGGACTCTGGGAAGAACAAGGCTACCACCCTCTCCAACGTGAGCCACGCCCTGGGCACGGAGGTACCTTACCCTGTGGGTTTCACAGTGGTCACTGTCGTCTGAGAAGAGCACAGCATCCTTGATGAAGTTGGACAGGGCGCGCAGGATGAAGGACACGAACAGGTGCATGTGGATGTAGTTGCGGGTGCAGTGGAGCCTCCTGGAGGGAGAGGAAGCAGGGCCATGGGGGCCCTCGCTGGGAGGAGCCAGGGTGCAGCAGGCCCACCCTCCCCCAGTGCTCAGGGGAACTCTTCCCAGGTGACACATTTCTCTGTATCGCTCTGTTAGTACAACCTGCGTAAGTACCCAAGTCCCCAGGTGCTCAGTCCACTCTGTCTCATGTTGTAACAACAACAACAACAACAACGATAATAATAATAATAAAAGCTGGGTCACAGGGCAGCATTATATTTTTCCCTGACCTACTGTCATCTCTAGCTTCTACAGTTGTTCAGAAGGGATGGAAGAAGGAGGTCCTAAAGGCAAGCAATACAGAGAGAACACGGGCTTTGGGGAAAAGACAGACCTGGGCTTTGCTGCTATTAGTTACATGACCTGGAACTAGCCTCCCTAGTTATATGACCTGGAACTAGCCTCCCTAGTTATATGACTTAAAGCTAGTCTTCCTAGTTATATGACTTAAAGCTAGTCTTGCTAGTTATATGACCTAAAGCTAGTCTTGCTAGTTATATGAACTGGAACTAGCCTCCCTAGTTATATGAACTAGAACTAGCCTCCCTAGTTATATGACCTGGAGCTAGCCTCCCTAGTTATATAAACTGGGCCTAGCCTTCCTGGTTATATGAATGGAGCTAGCCTTGCTAGTTACATGACATGGAGCTAGCCTTTTCACTCCCCTTAGCCCATTTCCTATTCTGCTGTCAGGGACAGAGGTCTGTTACTTGTTGCCGTTGGCCAGGTACCAGACCAGGCTCCCTTAGAGGGAACCCACTCCAACACTGGTGGGTTTGACTCCACCCTCCCACCCTCATGACAGACCTGACCAATTGGAGCGCTCCAATCCTGGCCACAGTGATTGGCTCCGGGTTGGGCATGTGACCCAAGCTGGGCCTGTGAGAATTCCCACAGGACTTTCATTGCATCTAATGGGGAAGAGACTTTCTTTGTGCTGGTGCTGAAGAATGATAGAATGTACCCCTACAGTTGCTGGTGGCTGTGTCTGCTCCCCTGCAGGAAGTCTACCCCAGGATGAGGCCGGTGCAAGCGGAAAACTGGAGGGAGGCTAACCTAGTTGTGCTAATACCCTTGAGCACCTAGATTCAGCCAGATTCCCCCGAACTCGTCAGTTATGTGGGTCAGGTCACCTTTGTTTGAAGGTTTCTGTTTCTTGCAACCAAGAGTCTGGCTAACACACCTGTAACTTTAGGGTAATTAGCATTGTGTGAACATTAGAAATAACTACGTGTAAAGCAACTGGTGTGGTAAGTTCTTAGCAATGCTCAGGAAATGTTGAGTGAATAAAGGAATGAACAGGGTCACAGACTTCACAGGAAGTTCAGTCACAGGAACATCTGCCACAGGTCAGCTTAGATTAAGAGGTGACAAAGTGGCCCGCCCAGATCTTCCTCCTCTGGCCCAAGCAGTTAAAAGAGGTGCGAAGTCTGTGTGCAGGGAAGGCTGGGGACGTGTCCTCACCTGAAAGAACAGAGGATGCTGAGGGCCACCAGGAGCATCACCAGGGAGGAGCTGTAGCCCACGGTGTACATGACCTTCAGCTTCAGCAGGTACCTGTGCTGCAGAGAGAGCACGTGTCAGCCCCCCCGCCCCCCGGCTGGCTCTGCTCTTTTCTGCCTCGGAGAGTACCTGCTTCGGGCTGCTTGAATCCTTCAACTCCGACTGCCATGTAGTTCATATCCCAAGGGCACCAATTATAGATTCACAACATCTTGGCTTTGCAAAAGATCCTGGGGATCACCTGATAGCGACTCAAACGTATATACCTCATACATCCTGGATTTAAAGGCTCTGCTTGAATACCTCTAGGGACGAGGTGCTCACTGCCTTCCAAGGAATAAGGAAGTCACTTGGTATGCAGCAGGGCAAAATATTATGGGGTTTTTTTTCCTCTCATCTAAAGCTAAAATCTATTACCTTTTGAATTGCACTTATTGTTTCTTGAACCATTTAAAATAAACTGAATTTGACTTGTACCTAAGGCCTGTCCTTATTTTTTAAAAATAAGTTTTACAGTTTAGAATAGTTTTACACTAACAGAAAAGTTATGAAGAGCTTACAGAGAGGCCTGTCATTTTTAATACAGCTATTCCGCAAACCTGTGCCTCACTTATCTTCTCAGCATTAAATGTTCCCTGTCTTTAATCTCTTTCCACCTCCTTCGCCATTTTGCTCCATTAATATGCTCCAACTTGTCAATGTCCTTATTAAATAAAATACCCAGAACTGGATAGCTGAAAAGCGCCAGATGTATCCTCTCACTGGGAAAAAGTGGAATGGGACGTCACCTCCCTTGATCTACACACTGTGCTCCTGTTAATGTGGCCAAGCAGGCACTTACTTGTTCAGCAGACACTTCTCACTCTTGGTTCATCTTTGATTCAAAAAGATCTCAATGGAATAGAATAAATTGACATGTAGAGATAAATGTAAAGACCTGCATTTAGGTTAAAAAAAATAAATTGTACAATAGCCTTAAAAATAAGCAAGGAAGTAAAAATTAAAAGAATAATATTGTCAAAACCGGTTTGGCTCAGTGGATAGAGCATCAGCCTGTGGACTGAAAGGTCCCAGATTAGATTCCAGTCAAGGGCATGTACCTTGATTGCGGGCACATCCCCAGTAGGGTGTGTGTAAGAGGCAGCTGATAGATGATTCTCTCTCATCGATTTTTCTAACTCTCTATTCCTCTGTAAAAAATCAATAAAAAAAAAATATATATATATATATATTTTTTTTTTAAAAAGAGATTAATACTATACCATTTTTTTTAATCAACCAAATTAACAAATATCCAATATTTGGAAGTAAACATATTCTATGCTGGGTACAGTGGAGTGGAAATTGTTCAATCTCTCTGGAAAGTATCAGGGATTAAGAACCTTTGAAATAGGTTTTCCTTCTGCTTCCAGGAATTAACTCTAAGAAATAATCAGAAATATAAAACCTATTTATACATAAAGATGTTATCAGAACTATTTGTGACGAAAAATATTCAAATGTCCAACAATAGAATAGTTAACTAATTATTTTATTTTTTAAACTAAATGATTTTAAATCCAAATTACTTTCATGTTAGGCCACCACTAAAATGCTGCTTCCCAAGAGTTTGAAAAGATGTCGGGACATGCTCAGAACATAATGTCAAAGGAAAGGCAAAATACAATCCCCTTCTGCGAAACAGTGTTATGTCAAGTTATATGAAATCACTCTTTTTGTAGATTAAGAAAAGACTAAATATGGACATTTCATGTTGTCTAATCTCATACATGCTTAGAAATGAGGCAGTAAGGAGATGTGTTAGATGTTAATACCAGTTAGCTTTGGATGGTAAGTTGGTGGATAGCACTGTTGTTTTCAGTTGTGTTTTTCTACACCTTTCATTTTGCTACAGTGGGTCAGTCATACTTTACAACCAGAAGAAAACAGGTATTTGATTTAAAAAGAAAACAGGCGCAGGAATAGTATTGGGGAAACCTGCTGGCTGACAGCTATTCACATGAAAATGACCTTGAGGCCGAATGGCCAAAGCTTCATGTGTTCAGGAAGTGTACTGCGGAAAGAACACAGGCCTCGGAGCCAAGAAGCAAGGGTTCCAAACCCTCACCAGCTGTGTGACCCTGGGCAAATTACTTAACTTCTCTGAGCCTCAGCTTCCTCATCTGCAAAATGGGGATCACATCTACCTTGCAGGCTTGTTGGAAGAACAAATAAGGTATCAGGTAGAGTATCTAGCCAATGGCTGGCACCTAGAAGACAGGCAGGGCTGTTGATTTTCCCACCTCCACCCTCCACCCCATCATCCACCCTTCAACATGACTCAGCAGCAGTTCGAGATTATGGTATGAGGTCTGAGGTCTGAGGTCTGAGGTCTGAGGTCTGAGGTCGTAGGTCTGAGGTCTGAGGCATGAAGTATGAGGCATGAGTTATGAGGTATAAGGTATGAGGTATGAGGTAGCTGCTGGAAAAATCTGCCTACTCCCAGTTACATAGTGGAGCGCTGGGGAGCAGCCGGCCACATTGGGACATCTGGAGTATTTGGTCCAGGCTGGGAGTGTTATTTTAGGAGGCACATTAATAAACTGGATTATTTCCATGAAGGCTCGTCTTGTCACCTGAAGAGCACATGACGAAACTGGGCACATCACATTCTAAGGGATAAACAAACTCAGGGGAGGACACTATGAGGTGGATGGACGTGCAGAAGCAGAGTAAGACCGGCGGGAGGATGTTACCAGAAAGGAGTGACCAAATACTTTCTGGCAGCAAGAGGTGACCTCTGACAGGACGACTGCCTTGTGACATTGAGCTTCCCCACTGATGTCACTGCACCCCCAGGAGCCACCTTACAGAGAGCCAAAAGGGCAGCAGGTTGCACCAGATTAATGGTTCCTAGACCTTTAATCAGAGAGCAGTGAAGTGTCAAAATGTTGGAGGGCCCACGTGAGCCCCTCAGCCGAGGGTGTGGGCCTCACCCTCGGGGACGCCTGGTTTTGCAGCCTCGGTTCGGGAGCCGTTTGGGGCAGCCTAGGGCAGCATGAGGTGACCCAGGTGACAGTATAGTGTTCAGGCTGAGTATTCTGCACTGCCCTGTGGCGGGGTCATGGTCCACCATCTGTCCCTCGGGACACATGGGCCAGCTCTCAGGCAGTCCTGGTCCTGCCCTGTGTCTTTAAGGTCTGACTCAGAAAGAATCCTGTTCCCAGGAGGCCTGATGCAACCTCAGTGCCCCTGCCCTTGACAGTTGCAACTACTGCACCATCTGCCAGAGAATGCAGGTCCGGGATCCTCACTGCTGTCCACCATGGGTCAAGTTACCTATTTCTCTGCTCTGTATTCTGACTGGGCCACCTTCGTTCTGCATCTAAATTGGGGTCACCAGGCTTTTTCCATACAGGGCAAGTAGTAAATACTTTAGGCTTTGGGTGCCATAAGATCTCTTTTGCAGCTAACTCAATTCTGTCCTTGTAGTGCAAATGGACGTAGCAATGTTTCAATAAAACTTTATTTGCAAAAGCAGGTGGTGGATCTGATTTGGCCCAAGGGCTGTAGCTTGCCAACCTCTGCTGTAGGTGAGCAAACCCCATCTTACTTGTTCAAGTGACATCTTTGCCTGGTCTTTCTGCCAGTCTGAGCCCACTTTGTCAATAATATTTGTCAATAATAGAGAGGTGTGTGCCAAGCAAGGAAGTGGAGAGAAAACCAACAAATTCAGACTTTCACCATCATTTGATTAAAAGAAAAAATTTTTTTTTTCAACAATAATAAATAGGATGGTGACTCAGTTGGTTGAAGAGTTGTCCTGCACACCAAGAGGATTGCAGGTTTGACTCCCGGTCATGGCACATACCCAGGTTGGGGGTTTGATGCCCAGTCTGGACACGTGCAGGAGGCAACCAACTGATGTGACTTTCTCACATTGTCTTTCTCACATAGATGTTTCTCTCTCTCTCCCTCCCTTCCATTCTATCTAGAAGTTAATAGGCAAAACAATGCCATTGGGTGAGGATTAAAAAGAAAAAAAAACCTTCCTCTTTTATTAATCTAATGGAAAAAAAACACATATCATCCCGAGAGGACTAAACATAATAAATAAATGAATAAATAAATAAATAAATAAGGATGGTTCAAATCTCAGAATAAAAGACCAATTGTGCTCCAATTTGTGGACTTGCATTATGGACCATTGTAAACCATATGGTCTGAGAGCCTTCCAATCTTAGGGGCTTTTTAATTTTTTTTAAAATGTGAGCTGAAGCCAATTAGGTCTCCTTTCCACTATTTTTGGACCGTAACTGTCTGAGGTAAGCCCAATTTTGCATTAACCCCTTTACACCTCAGTTTCCTCACCTGCAAAATGGAGAACATGATGAACTTACACCAGATGCTTTGAGCACTAATGTAACTGTGCATTAAGCAGCTGGCATCAGGTAGACATTCAGTCCAACGATGAGCAAGTATTGGGCACCTTATAGGGGCCAGGCATCGTGCTGGGCAATGGGGCCGGGAAATGACTCTTCAATCTGTCACTGCGCATTTCCATGCTTAGCCCCGGGCCTTGCCCAAACGTTTGTCGAGTGAATGGAGGCTTTGCAGGAGCTCATAGTCTAGCGAGAGCAGTGGGTGCCCACGGACATGCTGTGATTTCATATTACGTGGTGATAGCTGGAGGCTAACCGTCAGGGAGCCCGTCCTGGGGGGACAGGCAGAAGCATTTCTGGGGTTGATGCTCTGGAGTGGAGTTTAAAAGGTTGTGTGCGAGCCAGCCAGGAAAAGCGAGGAGGGAAGGGCTCTCTGAAGTGGGCGGCTACTTCAGGAGGCACCGGGAGGAGTGCAGCCCAAGGCGCAGTGTCCTCTCTCAAACCGGGACGGATACCCTGGGCGGGGCTCTCTCTTCTGAGAGCGAACACTGATTGAGCACTTACTATGGCCAGGCGCCCTGCTCACACTCCCGTGGATTAACTCATTTAGTTCTCTCGGCAAGCCTGTGAGGTGAGAACTATCATTAACCCATTTCCCTGACGAAGAAACGGAGGCACAGCTGAGTATAGTCATCCACACCCCACCAAGGTCACAGGTCAGGGCTGAGACTCACCAGCCTGGCCTAAGCCTGTAGCCACCACTTAGCTTCTCTTTGGGTTTCATGACCAAGTCCCCTGACTCATGGCAGCACGTGGCAGTCCCCTGTGCCACGGCCCACTGACCCCCAGGTGATGTGCCGGACAAAAGTGGGTGGGAGCCGCACCCCAGGGCACTGTCCTTGGCTGGTGCTGGGGTTTCCCCCTGCAGGTCCCTTCCAGGGAGGTTGACAGGCTTACCCGCTTCTCGTTGGTCTCGTTGGACGAGTCGTTCACATTAACCCCACAGGCCAGGTCAGGCCTGGGGAAGACTTCTGACCAGCCGCCCGGTGTGCAGTTTCGAAACATGGAGCCTGTGGATGGTGAGCACGCTGTGTGTGAGCCGCAGGGACCAGAGGCAGACAGCTGGGCCTCCCGGGTGCCCTCAGCAATGCCTTAGGGGCAGCCCGGAGCTTCCTCTGTCCCTTTGTCCCCAGCTGCCTTGCTCAGAACCAGAGTCCACTCCAGGTGGCTCAGTTGGTCCTTGAAGAATACATAGGTCTGTCCATCAGGAAAAGTGGAGGGAGAGGTGGTAGGCAGCTGGGCCTAGAAGGAGCAAAGATCTGGGGTGTGTGTGTGTGTGTGTGTGTGTGTGTGTGTGTGTGTGTGTGAGAGAGAGAGAGAGAGAGAGAGAGAGAGAGAGAGAGAGAGAGAGAGAGAGAGACCTGCTGATCCCTGACACTCGATCTACAAACTGGCAAACATCCCTCCCAGTCCCCTTGTCTTCCTCCCCACCCCACCCCCAACACCTACGGCCCCTGTGCCAGGCACCAGGTGCAGAGGTGGAACTGGCCAGGGCGCAGCACTCAGAGAACAACTCCCCCAGAGCCAGGCCCCAGGGGTCCAGGCCACAGCAGACTTCAGGGCCCCTGCTCTGGGGCCAGCCCACCCCTGGGCTCTCTTACACCCCTGTTCCCTCCCACCTGGCCCCTCACCCTTCCCTCCGCAGGCTCCAAACTCAGCTCCAATGTCCCTCAATGCTCACGGAGGGCCTGCCTCGCCCACCCTCAGCCCACCGCTGGCTGACCTGCACCATGGCCCCTGGAGCTCCCTGCCCAGCTCCAGCACAGGCTGTACCCCATGTCCTCGATGGGGTGCAGTGGCTTCCCTGCCTCCCCTAACAGGTGATTTCCGAGGGCTCCCCGCGCCAGCCCAGAGCCCCTGCTCTCCAAACATTGGCTGGCCGGAGAAGCAGCTGAGGGGAGAAGAGCCTGCTCTGAGCTCTCCAAGGGAAGAGGGGAGACCTCGCCCCTGAGAATCTGTGGAGCAGGAGCTGGAGCCCTGGGGGAGCCAGGAGGGGGGCTTGGAGAGCCACCAGGAGCCTCCTTGGGACAACAGGCTCAGCTGCACCCACTCTGGCTGCCAAGAAGGGCCGAGTTCCGGTCCCCGGGTGTGGCTGCTGTGGGTGTCACAGGGGTGCAGGGAGCTGACTGCAGCCCTGAAACTGCTTTTACTCTCCTCTGTACCCTGTCCGGGGCCCTGAACCACCCCAGTGGGGCCGGCATGCTCCTTCTGACAGGCCCCAGAGTCGGCTCACTGGCTCTCAAGCCGATTCCACTGAGCCGGAGAAATAGGAGTATACTAGCATTTCCAGGACCAGCCAATGTGCACGTACAGATGCTGATCTAATCATCAGAGGGCCCCTATGAGGCAGGCGCTGCTGGCCATTTTACAGACAAGAAAACCAAGGCTCAGAAGGATAACAATGACCAGCTAGGTCATGTCCCATCACTGTACCCCCTTCCTGCCTGGCCCCTCCCTGCAGACCCAGGGGCAGCTTCCAGGAGCAGGAGACCATGATGGGCGCTGGCATGCCCAGCCTGAAGGCTCACGAGGCCCGGAGTGCAGGTCTAGAACTGGCCAGATCCGCATTTGAAAGCCAGCATTGCCTCTTGGTCGCCGTGTGACCTTCGGTGCATCTCCTTTCCATGCCACATGGGAACAGTCACTCACACTGCAGAGCTGCACGGGGGCACACAGAGATGGTCCAGGCTGGTGCCAGGCACAGGCAGGCACTCCCTGCTGCCTTGCCTCTTTCTAAAATGGACCGAGAGTGGTGGGGCTTGGAACCCTGGCACCGGGAGAAGGTGGAGTTAGGTCAGGGAGCTAGGCTGTCAGACAGGAAGCACGTGGTCAGCTTCGGGCTGGCTGGCTGTGAAGAGAATGCAAACCGTGAAGCCCAGGGCTGCTCTTCAGGGCCCTCTCCTCAGTGGCACAGCTGCAGGTGATGCAGGCCAGGAGCCCAGAGCGGCGAGCAGGCGGTGCCCTCTGCTGGCCACCCTGGCAGGACTGCAGGGAGATAAGGCTGGACTCTCTCAGGAGTCCCTTCACCTCCACCTCTCCCCACCCCCACTCCCACTCCCACTTTCCTTGGGCTTACTGCCTCACAGGAAAGGGTCCTTACCAGGGTCACCCCAAGGAGCCCTGAAAGCACCGTCAGTGTTTGTGTGCACAGGCATGGTTGGTCCAAAGAAGGACAATCAGCTGAGAACGGGGCCCCAGGACCCTCATCAGGTTAGGAACCTCGGCTGCTTTAAGGCTGCAATCCCCACTAAGATAGAGGGGCAAGAGGCCAAGGCTGGCCCCCATGGGGAGTGGGTTTTTAAGGAACTTTGGAAGACCAGTGCCCCTTTAAGACTCAAAGGGATGCGTCCTGGAGGGAACAGTCTCGGCCTGGCACACACAGAGAAATATCTGGGGCAGAATCCAGCCCGCAGTTTCTCCATTCACACGGACACCCATCCTGTCTGGGCCAGAGACAGAATTGAGTTACCATTAGTTTCTTCTTAGTAAAGGAGGGCTCACCCTCGTTGGTTTGGCTCAGTGGATAGAGCATGGACCTGTGTACCGAAGGGTCCTAGGTTCAGTTCTGGTCAAGGGCACATGCCTAGGTTGCAGACGGATCCCCAGTAGTGGGTGTGCAGGAGGCAGCCAATCAGTGATTCTCTTTCATCATTGATGTTTCTAGCTCTCTCTCCCTCTTCTTTCCTCTCTGAAAATAAAAATATATTTTAAAATAAATAAATAAATGAGGGCCCCAGAACACTGGCTTGTCCTCACTGGGCACTCCTTCCTGGGTTGGGGTGGGAAGCCCCGGAAACCTGTGGGAGATCAGTGAGGGAAGCCTCTCCTGAGAGGAGGCAGAAGGGCTGGGACCCAACCAGAGGGAAGATAGTGGTGGGAGGGGGGAGGCTGGACTGACCTATGCTGTGGGACCGGCCCATGCCTTGGGCCTGGACCTGGGTATGAGCACAATAGTTCCCCCCGGTGAGCCATCGCACCCCCCTGGGGGCCTATCCTAGCACTCAGCAGGCAGAGCCTCAGTGTGGCCAGCGGGCAGTCCTGTAGCCCTACAGCGACACCAGGTGGCAGCAAGAGGAAACTGCAGCAGAGGTTGGCACAGGAACCCTGCTTCCTTCCCTCAGCACCTAGAGCTGCACCCATGGGTGATCCCCAGTGGGTCTTGAGCAATTAAGATTGAGGAGCCTCAGGGAGGGAGACAGTTGGGTTCTATTTAGCGAGGCAGGTGGGGGTTCAAGCACTTGTTTGTGGAGGGACGTGGCCATGAGCCTCTGTGGAAGGGCCGGTGGGGGAGGCAGAGGCACAGAGCTCTGAGAGGGCTGTGACGGGGGCGCCTGGAAAAGAGGAGAGCTTCCTCCAACAGGAGAGCTCAGCCAGAGAGGAGCACTGCACAGGGAGTCCTCCGAGACCAGGTCTGGTCCTGGCCTTGCACCTGACCAGCAAGTTACTCAAGGTCATGTCTGGATTATCCTTCTGTGTTCCAAGTTCCACGTACCCCAGAGGCAGACAAGGAGGGTGCTGCCAGGAAATAAAGCTGTAGGTAAGTGTGCTGCTGTGTGTGTGCCTTCGGCTGGACTTCGGGGTAGAAAGGAAGGCCAGGAAGGGATATGAGGGGGAAAAAGGAGACAAGATGTTTAAAAGTTATTTCCAAGCACAGCCTTCCAGGGCTGGTGCTATCTATTCTCCCCATTTTACAGGTGAGAACACTGACGCTCAGGGACTATTTGAGGAACTTGGGCCAGAGGCAGAGGCTGGTACCCAGCAGGACCCCATTTCCCACATCGTTTGCAACCAGGAATCGCCCTGTGACTGAGCTCTGGCAGAAGCAACATGGGCAGAAGTGGTATCCCAACAGGCCTGGTCCTTCAAAAATCCCCCCCATCAGCCCGCAAGCTGTGTGCCAGCTCCCAGCAGGGAGGTGCCCGGATGCCAGACCCAGCGGAGAGAGCCTCCTGCCCCTGGAAGCACCTGCTGGGGACTCGGCAGACGGCACTGGAGGAAGCAGCAAGATCCGGGGCTCTGTCTGTTTCGGCAGCCAGCATTACCTACCCACGCAGTAAACGGAGGGGTGGGGTTCAGGCCAGACTCCCCCCCGCCCCAAACTTCTGTACGGGGGCGTCAAGTGCACACCGTGATGCGTGTGCACTAGAGCACCACAGTGTGCAGCATGTGCACCCCTGCCCCGCACGCAGCCTTGATGTGTGAGGTCAGAGTCCTGTCTGTGGAGGGCCGGTGGGTTTTAGTGTTAAATCAGGCCGACCTTGACCATGGCCTCAAACAGAGCTCCAGCTTTGAAGTCAGAGAAATCTGGGTTTGAGTCCTGGTGTCTCCATCTCCTAGCTGTACAAACTGCTAAGCCCTCTTTGTCTGTTATTATCACTCCTGATAGGCCAAGTGCGTGGGGAGATGGGGAAGGGAGTGGGGGGAGGAAAGGCAGGGGCAGGAGCAGGGCCTGTGATGTGCAGGGGGTTGTGATGACGAAGGGCTGGCACATATGGGGCTGTAGCCCGAGTCAGCCCCTGAGCATCCATCTAAGCAGGCTCCTCCCCTCCCTGCCTGAGGTTAAGGAAGTCCTTGTAAGCGTAGCTTTCCTTGGGCAAGAGACCCCCGGGGGCCAGCTGATCACAGGGCCTGGCAGAAGGAGCACAGGAAGCAAGTGTGCTGGAAGGCCAGGTGGTGCCCGGTGGGAACCCAGGCCCGGTGCTGGAGCAAGGGTCCTGGTTCCTGAGGGGCAGGAACATAGGAGGAAGAAGCTGAGCCACACGGCACAGAGAGAAGTCAGCCTGCACTCCTTTTCCATGTCCCCAGTACGTTGCCTCCTGCCCCCTTGCTTGGGACCCTAAGGATTAGCCCCGCCCCCAGGAAAAGTTTCCAATCCCTAACAAGGACCCCACCCCCACCTTTCCCTCAGTATTTGTCCCCAAACAAGTTTCCTCCCGCTCAGAGGCCACCCGCAGCCTCTCAGCGGCCCTTGGGCTGATGGTTACCGTTTCTGCCCGTGAGCATCCAGAGGAATCGTGGACACTCCACTTCCACCGTCTGTCCGGGCTCAGAGGAGGGCCAGCAGCTCATGTTTTCCCACAGCCCCGCGCAGCCTGCCGAGAAGAGCAGCAGCATCAGAGCGGGAAGGAGGCCAGGCCTAGATCAGGATGTGGGGCCGAGGGCTCCGAGGTAAAGCAGCCCCAGAGTGACAGCACAGGTTGTAGTCCTAGAAGGAAGGTGTGGGAAGGGCGGGGAGAGATCATGGACAAAGGCAGGGTTTGGGTGTGGCTCCCACAGGGACTGTCAAAGCATCTACGGGACCCAAGGGCCATGTGTCTGTCTTTGAGGAATGTTGGGTGAGAACCCCTTAGATATTCCTGAACCTTCACCCAGATCTCACAGCAAGCCCGGCTGAAGCGGGCGGAGCCCTCTCCTTTTGGAAATGCCCCAGAACCCACCATGTCCCAGCCACTGGCTGTCAGGACTCCAGCTGTGGGCACCGCAGGCCAGGACTGCAGGAGCCCTGAAGCTCGCAGACCCCGGGGCTTGGCCTCCCCAGACGCTCCTGGGCCGGTGACATGGTCCTGGGAGGGCTCTTCACAGATGACCACGAGTGAAGCCCGGAGGCTGAGCTGGGCCCTCGCCCACGCTCCTGCAGAGACCCCGTGGGGGGCAGCGCCTCGGCCAGGGCGCAGCCTCCCTGCCAGCTCTGCAGCATCGCCTGGACCAGAAGCCGGTGCCCTCCCAGCTGTGGAGAATGCAGCCTCTCCCTCACTTTGGGAGGAGTGGATTCAGGGCTGGGCTGACCAGGTCCGCAGGACACTGGCCCACAGCTCCAGTCCATGAGGCTGACCAACCCATGGCCGGCTGGCCAGACAGATGGAGAGGGTGCCAGGGACTCTGGCCAGCTTCCTGACACAGATCTAGCCAGACTGGGCCCGCAGGGACACTGGCCTGGTACTGGCCAAAGGCAGGTGGAAATGGCTGGTGGTGGGAGGTGAGGAAGAGCGGGGAGCAGACTCCCTGTGGGGTCCCTGGCCAGTGGTTCACTGCCAGGCCTCCCACAGCAGCCCCGGAGAGAGCAAGGTGTGGGGAAGGGCCATCGGCCCGTTCTGCACATGATCAGACAGGGTGGAGCCTGTAGGGCTCAGGCAGGGTCTGAGGGGTAAAGTGACATGTGCTGGTGACAGAGCTTATGATGGTGCAACTGGGACCCCACCTGCTGGGCTACCTTTGGTGGCAGCAGACCTGGATGCTAACCCACACACAACACTGTGTCCTGAGCGCAAGACATGCCTCATTGGCTCCCAGGCTCGGCTTCCCCGTCTGGTGCTGGTGGTGGACCGTGTGGGGACAGACCCAGGGCCCAGCGTCAGGGAGCACCTCCTGCGTGGCGTGCCCTGTCGGCTGGGACGTGGTAGAACACTTTGCTTCTAATAGTTACACATTCTTAAAGAGAATTTTAAATATGGATCAGAAAGTTATAGAACTAGCCCATCACATTTGTGATTTTATAGCTACTACTAGAGGCTCAGTGCACAAATTTCACGCATCCCTTAGCCCAGCCTGCACCCTCTCGCAGTCCGGGAGTCCTCAGGGGATGTCTAAATGATGGCTTAGGCCCGTGGGGAGCGGGCCCAAGTTGTTAGTGGGACATCCTCAGTGCTGTGGAAGCAGGAAAGGTTCCCACCACTGCCACTGTGCTCGCCAGCTGTGGCTGCGGCTAGGCTGTGGGGATGAGGTGGGGGGAGCAGGGAGCTCTGTGCCCCTCTGGCTGCTTGCAGGGACCGCCTTAGCTCCAGGGTGTGAGTGGGGGGTCTCAGGCTCCATCTCTGCTATCCGGCCCCCGCCCCTCCCCGGCTCCTACTCTGGCCAGAGGGCGAGCTGTCCTAGTCTCCCCGGAGCTCTGGAAGGAAGGGACCATGCGGAGGATTCAGGCCACTGGGATCCCGGTAGTTTTAGGGACACAGTGGCAGAGCTAGACGCCCGCATTGGGGGTGCGGGCAGTATGACAGGAGAGCTGTGTAACAGGGCCACTGGCACTGAGCCACTAGGAGGCTTACTTCCTCTGGAAGGCAAGGCTGACACAGACAGAAGCAGCTGCTGTGAGAGGGGCAGGGCCTGGGGCCGGTGAGGGGCATGCCTCTCACCCCTCCACCATGTCTGATGGTCACCTGTCGCCACTGCCTGGCTGCCTGGAAGGGATGGATGAATGGCTGGGGAAGCAGCATCGGATCACAGATGCCATCTGTGAGAGCAGCGGTGCCTGCCCAGTGCGCAGGCCGAGTGGACAGCATGGGACACTGGCGTGAGGCGGGTGGTGTGGTGGAGCGAGGGTGAGCTTTGGACCCCAAGCTATCTAGGCCTTGCCCTTTACCCCTATCAGCCTCAGTTTCCTCTTCTGTAAAATGGGCATAGTAATACCCCCAGGATTTTAGTGAGAATAAGTGATTAGTGCATGCAGTGCAGTATTTTTCAACATATTAACCTTTGTTCCTTTTTTGTCTCCTGGTATTTCTTCCCCTTTCTCTCTCTCTCCCTCCTCAGATTACTGGTTCCCGGGCTCCACGGGGCAGGAAAACCTACAGTCTTCCTGGCTGCAACCCCAAAGGGCCGAAGGGGGGATGAAGAGGAATTCTGGTGTAACCCAAATGACTGGGAGGAAACAAAAGGAGCAAGATTTCCTCAGACTGGGGAGACAGGGTAGGGAAGTGATGAGCAGGACATAGAAGGTTCCAGAAAGAGGCAGAGTGTCCCGGTGCCTGCCCACCGACAGGGGGGAGTCGTTGAGAGGAGCTGGCGTGAGCCACGTCCAGATGAGCAGCACCTGGGCCGCTGGCAGGCCTGGGCCGGCTCCGTCAGCACCACGCTCTGGCCCCCCAGACACTGTGTGCCTGTGGATCTCTGTGGGGAAGGTCCGGAAATGCCAGAGCTTAGGTTCCTGCCATTCTAGGAGAACAGGCCAGAACCAAAGTGACAGGAACGGAGAAAGTTCTAATTTCCCTGGAGTTTATGGACAGGACTGTTTCCTTCATACATGTAAAGCCCCTGGCACTGGGCCAGGCCCAGAGAACACTGGTCCCTCTGTCCTGCCACAGTCCTGAGATGAAGAGGTGGCCCCCTAGGCAGGCTGGCCGTGGGCAGGGGCTGGAACAGGGCAAAGGCCGGTGTCAGTCTCTCCATGCCCCAGCCAGGGCCCGGTGCACTGCAGGTCTGCCCTGCGTTCGCCACGGCGGGCTCCGCCTGCAGTCCCGGATTTATTTATGAACAAGCTCAGATGCCCACCCAGAATCTGCTCTATGTCAGGAGAGTGTGTCAGGCTGTGGGCAGGGCAGGGGATGTCCAGGGCAGAGGGAAGGGTTTGGCCGCCGAAAGCCACCAGAAGCCAGAAGAAGAATCGAGAAAAGGACCTGGGAAGGTTTGTTAGAGAAAAGTGCATTTAAAGCTTGTACATATGAGATTCTGAAACATACTACAACATGGACGAGCCTCAAAAACAGGATGCTCAGAGGAAGAAGGCAGACACCAAAGGTCAAATACTGTAGGATCATGTTATATGAAATGCCCTCTGCTCAGTTAATGAAACATACAATCTAATAATACTTGCAAGCATATAACTGATATCCAAACCTAAATAATAGTTGTTTTTAAAGAAAAAATGTAGAGCCAGCCAGCGTGGAGCAGTGGCTGAGTGTCAACCTATGAACCATGAGGTCAGGGTTTGATTCCTGGTCAGGGCACACACCCGGGTAGTGGGCTCGATCCCCAGTGGGGGGCATGCAAAAGGCAGCTGATCAATGATTCTCATCATTGACGTTTCTGTCTCTCTCCCTCTTCCTTCCTCTCTGAAATATATATATATATATATATATATATATATATATATATATATATATATATATAAAAACAGTGTAGAAAACGTCACTTGACCATAAATGAAGATTGCTTAAATTACATTCATAAAATTAAAGAATTAAATTCTGGCTAATCACATGTAAAAATTGAACGTAATGAAATATACTGGGTTTAATATTAACAATTAAATGCCATTAAATTGCTCACTCTAAATTTATGTTAATTTTACCTCAAGAGAAAAAGCCTCCCCCAAAAAACAGCCAGCCTTTCCTTCCTGCCCATGAAGTTTTGGAGTGGAAACCAGCTGGCCGAGACAAAGAGCAAAGGGGCTGGCACGTCCCCATTGCAAAGGCGAGGACACTAAGGCCCAAGGAGGATCGGTCTCTCGCTCAAGGCCACACGCCTCTACGTGACAGCCGTCCACCCGCCCAGATCTGTCTGACTGCCAAGCCCACGTCTGTCCTGCCACCGCACCGTCTCTCTGGAACATTCTTCCCGCGCGGGAGCCAAAGGCCTCCGCCAGCCAGCTCTGAGGGGCATCAGCTTCTGTAAACAGAGCAATAAATAGCTCGGGAGAGCGGGCCGTGCGGCTCGCAGGGTGACCCTGGAACATTCCCACAGAGCGCCACGAAGGCCTTGGCCGCGGAACCCGGAATAGCTGGAGAGTTAATTTTTTATTTGTGATAAGTTGCTGGGCTTGGTGACAGCTCCATGAGTGGCATTTCCTGTGACTCGTCTGGTGTTCAAACATTAACTTCCTCCCCAGAGAGGACCAGGCAGTTTAACCATTAACCCTGAGCCCCAAGGAAGAGCCGCCAGCCCTCTCCACCATGGGTGCCGGGCAGACCCTGAGAGGATGGAGGTCCTGTGGGCAGCGGTGGCCTGGACTCCAGGGGTCCTGCTCCTCAGGGGGCTGCTGGGCTGCCACCAGCTCGGGTTTGGTGTGGACACAGTGGGCTTGCCCACCCCACGGCTCTGCCCCTTTGTCATTGCTCTGCTCCCTTCAGCCTTTGGAATTTCCCCTCATCCACCACTTTGGTTCTAAACTCCATGCTGGGTGCATGGCTCTGCCTCCCAACCTCTCAGCAGAGCAGCCTGAAGCCTTTCCCAGCGGCCCAGGGCCTGGACATCCTCTGCCTTAGGGACCTGTAAGCCAGGTTTTCAAAGTAAAGACCCCTTTCCTAGATGAAAATCGCAGAAGTTCAGCATGCAAAGCACACTCGAGTGGCCTGAGCCACTTGTGGCGGGTGGGGGCAGC